CTTCAAAATTAATTCCCCCTACTTCAAAATTAATTCCCATGGTTGTCCACCCTGTTTACTGAGAATACCTGATTATGTATAATGTTTTCCAACCATAAAGGACATACCATGGAGGTAAAGCATGGCTCAGACACAAATGAGGGGTTTTTTAGTATTTTTAGTTGTAGACAGACCCAATACCTTTATTTTTTATTTATTTCTCTTGATGTGTTACTGAGAATAGAACCCAGTGTCTCACAGGTGCTAGGCAAGCGCTCTACCACTGAGCCACAAACTCAGCCCTGGTGACGACCTATCTTTAAGCACCTCATAAAAAGAGAGGGTGAACTAGATAATCTCTAAGACCATTTCCCAACCTATAATAAACCACATTTCTATGACTTCATAAATAAGAAAAAAAAAAAGTTCACTTTTGAAGTAGAAGTCATTGCAAGGCAAAAATTCTTATAAGACAATTAGAACAAAAATGGTACCTCAACATTTTTAAGCCACCACTGGCTCAGAGGAGGGAAAAAAGAAAAAAAAAGACTAAAAATATCTTCCTGCCCACTTCAGAGTTTGGGAGGTCTAAAATTTTCTTCTTATTAAAGCTAAGTCACCATGGTTGGATTGCCTGAGTCATCTTGAGGGCGGCTTAAACATATTTTACCAACCTGTGGGTACTTCATCTAATTTAATGAGTTAGGAGCCAGCCAGATGGGAGTAGAGACGCCTTGCCCTACACCAACTTCATCTCTCTAACTCTGCCCCCTCCATTTCCCACCACCCCACTTCGTCCAGCCTCCTCCACGTGACTGGGACAATTGTGACCACTGAATTCTCTGCCTGCCACCTTTAAATCCACCCTTCTGTAGAAGAGTAAATGATTTAGCAGGTCTGAGGAGATCATCTTCATTTTGACATCAGGAAATAACATGTGAAACATTCTTATTCTGCCCCTTGCTTAAAAAAGAAAGACTCACCCCCAAGAACTTGGAGAACATTAGGAAAGTTAGTTCCCAGGAACTTCAGATGAATGGGAAATTATCTGTTTGTCTGTGTACCTATTTGTCTCT